CCCCACCTCCAACCCTTCCCCCCCTATCCTTCCGATATAATAAATAACCGGGAATCACCGTGTCTCACTGATTTTCCTCATCCCACCAAGTTTCTGAAATACCCACAATGTCTATTTTCCCCTCCAACACCAAGCACTCCAACTCCCCCATCTGTATTCCACCTTGTGTTTGTAAGCCTTGTACTGTATTCCACCTTGTGTTTGTAAGCCGCCCTGAACTCCCAGTGCTCCCTGTACTCCACCCTCCCCAGGGAATTCCTCCCAAATCTCCAGGTATTTCCTGAATCTGACCTGGAACCTTACTCAGAATATTAATTTATTTATTCCAGTATTTACCTCACATTGACTAAAAGAGTAACCACAGACAGGAATTAGGTATCTTTCAACACGAGTGAGGATTCTTGCACTGAGTACCGCGGCGCGCGCTTCTTCGTTGCGCGCCGGCTTGTCTTGTGATCAGCACCTCTCCCTTGCCATGGAACCTCCACGGTACCTCCACAGGAGGTCTGATCGCGTAACTGCGCAGTAGTTTGCCCCAGGGCAAACAGCCACGCTTCTCCTCTGCAGTTTCCTGCCCGTGTGACCGGGGCCCACAGACAGGAATTAGGTATCTTTCAACACGAGTGAGGATTCTTGCACTGAGTACCAATACATTTGCAGCATTGATTTAGCAGCTGTGGCACACTTGCATTTTCAAGCCACTGAAGTTGCCTGTTACTTTATCTGTTCTCAAATGGGAAAAACCCATCTTACTACATTGCTCCCATTATGCAAGCAATCTGAAATGAAGCAAGGTTAATCTACAAACATATGTGCATAAACTGGCTTGCTTTATTATCACACAAGTGGTCTAATCTAGCCATTCCTCCCAGAATACCAAATAATATTGCTGCACTGCACACATGGGGCTCCTTACACCATATAGGGTTTTCGGTTCAGGTGGAAGCTCTATGTTGACATAGAGATGTTGTATGTGAGGTCCAGTGTCTACAAGGTATCCTGCCCATGGTTATGACCCAAAGAGAATGGCTAAACTCATGTAAACTATCTGCATACAAAACATAGTAGTTTTCACTGATAAAGATCCCACATCTAGTAAGGCAAGTTAATTTGAAAACTAAACCACAGTTGTTGAACTAAAAACAAGTAAACTACTTGTGCTGCAGCCACTGGTGGTTAAAGCATGCTGTAGCACATCTTGAACATCATGGGAGTGGAAATGTAAGGTGCTAAAAGAAAAAACGTATGCCTCTTTTGAAATATGGAAAGGCATTTCGTATCCATAAAATAGTTTTATAAATTGATAATATGTTGTCCGGATTTTGGTGGATTTCACTGCTTTAACCATGAACAAGCAAAGGTTTAACCCAAATAGTACCCAAGAGGTATGGTTAGATTAATCTGTCTTACCTGTTATGGTTGCTTTGTTGATGGATGGTTGGTTACACATGGGTGACCGTCTGAAAGAAACAGAGAAATTGTAAGTCATTAGCACGACTTTGTTTATAGTACTTCATTCTTAGAAATCATTTAATTAGGAAACTCATTGATTATTTGATGGGAAGACAAGAGAATTACTGTGCAAGCCAAAGCAAAGTTATACCCTTCTAAATCCATTGAAGTTAATGGGCTGAGAAGGGTGTAACTCTGCTTAGGATGACACTGTTAAGGAGAATGCCTTGGTAAAACTAAAAGAAGATCTACCTATACTAGCACTCTAGGTAAGATGTACCCAAATAAGCAGGTGTACTGACTCAAGAAGTAGGAGACCCAGTTCACATCCCCACATAGTTGTGAAACTGCTGAGCCCCCTTGGACAAGTCTCACTCTCTCATGTTAAACTGTGCCTGCAATCTTCAGCACAATTACCCAAGCATAAATGCTACCGAACTCAGCTGGATTTACTTTTGAGTAGACTTGTTTAAGATTGATCCCTACGTCACAGAGATCTTGTGATGATAACTGAGATAATTCCATGTACTCAGTGGAGGAAAGGGGGGGGGTCAAATGTAATACATAATTTTTAAAATAAGCACTTTCAAGAGTGACTCTTCCAAAGGGAGAGAAGCTCATGTGAAGGGAAAACGCCCTCTAAGGTATCATAAGATTGGCATGGGAAACAACCACACACTTGTACATGGCACCACATATTGTACATGGAAACAACCACACACTCTGCTAAATTCCTAAAAGTGGTCCTTTGTATGGGTACACCTGAAAAAGGCCAAAATGACACACTATGTTAAATGTGTGGCAACATAAGCATTGCATATTTTGTTACCCCCAGTGGAGGGAAAAGAAGAAGAAGAGAAGAGATTGGATTTATACCCTGCCCTTCACTCGGAGTCTCAGAGTAGCTTACAAACTCCTTTCCCTTCCCCTCCCCACAACAGACACCCTGTGAGGTAGGCGGGACTGAGAGAGCTCTTTCAAGAACTATTCTTGAGAGAACAGCTCTGATAGAATTATGGCTTGCCCGAGGTCATCCAGCCAGGTGCAAGTGGAGGAGTGGGGAATCAAACCCAGTTCTCCCAGATTAGAGTCCACACACTTAACCACTACACCAAACTGGCTAGAGAAACATGCATTATGGTGTCAGGGCAGGAGTAAATTGTCCTAGTCATTATGGTGGGGAAGGAGGGGGAAATTAAACTTGTCACTTTCAGAAGTGTTTTCAGCACTGACAACTTAATACAACTCATGATTTTGGCCCGAATGAAAACAAAAAGAGAGAAAAAAATTCATCTGAACATATGAAGCTGCCTTATACCAACTTAGACTACCAGTCCATCGAGATCAGCATCTTTGACTCTAATTCGCAGCAGCTTTCCATGGTCTCAGGTAGAGAAAGGTCTGTTTTAGCACTGGCTACCTGAGATCTTTTAACCAGAAAGTCCAAGAAAGAAACCTGGGACATTCCGTATGAAAAGCATGTGCTCTGCCACTGAGCCACAGATCTTCCCTAAAGGTTCGTGTGAACTGGGCTGTCCGTGCGGTATGTTAGCGGTCATATGTTCAGTCATCTCTGTGACTGTGGCAGCCTTTCTCAGAAGCTGCAGGTGTAGAAATGGCTACCTGCTCACCATTTGTAGAACCTGGTTTGCGGTAATCTGTTATGCTGTTGACCTGCATACACAATCATGTGGGAGAAGGGGCACTAATTCAGCAGGGTCGGAAGGAGGAAAAGTACAATACTCACTTGCTGGGTGCTCGATCCTGTAAATTGGTTAATGCAGCAAAATTATTCCGTACAGTACGTAAGCTGGCCAGCACCTGTAGGGGATAAATGTGAAGTTTCATTCTCATTTTCTTCAGGTGTACTCACAACTTCTCTCCATTGGACAGAATGCAAAAGACTTTCTAAATAAGCTAATAAACTTCCCAAGATTGTTTTGGTGTTTGATGCCTTTGACCGTCATTCCACAAAGAAGCTTTTGTAATTCAAGGCAAGAGTTTTGTCGCTTTCACTCTCACTAAAGAAACCATTAATTGTTTAAAAGCAGCCTTGTTCAAAGAGGAGGAAGATTTCCCACAGAACCCTCTTTGTCTGTCTGAAATGAGTGAGCTTGGAAAAGAATGGGCCATTGCCATCCAGTGCCATTTGGACTAGAATTGTTACAGCAATGAAACATCTGCACAATAAGAACTTTTCATACTTGACACCCAATTGACACAAAGCCATCTGTGCATAAATTCATGTAATCCCATTTGCTATGTATTTCTTTAGACCGTTTGCGCTCTGCCTTTCTGCTCAGAGGGCAGCCGAGGCGGCTTACAACAAACTAGTTCAAATGTCATGAGCTTTTTTGTAAAAAAAAAGGCAGTTAAAACCAAAGAAAAAGAAAACAGTAAAAGTTTAAAAGCAGTGGATTAAAATATAAAATCACCTTTAAAAGGAGCACAAAATAAAGTAAATATAACCACTGTCATGTTTAATAGCCAGGTATGCTTATCTTAACACAGATTAGTTAATAACATCCAACATCCAACAAGGCTCTGCAGATATACCCCAACCAGACTAAACTGGCAAGGTCAACTTGACATACATGGAGAGGGTACTAGTTTCAGATCTCCACTAGAGATAGCTTATCATGCTCTAAAAGCAGTTTGTGACACAGCATGGTACTCTGAGGTTCAAATCAGAAAAAAAGTTTAAAATGTATGTATGATGGAGCTCTTTGGGCCCCAGCCAATGGATGCAGGATGCCAGTTTACGGCATCTCTAAGCAACAGAGGTAATAATGGAGACTATTCTGTTTTAGATTGTCTATTTTGCTTAGAATCAATGTTCCCTCTAAGATGAGTTAGTGTGAGCTAGCTCACAGTTTTTTAGCCTCCAGCTCACACATTTTTGTCTTCGCTCAGGAAGGATGGCTCCAGAACGAACTAATTTATGCAGTAGCCAAATCGCTCACTCATTTAATGGCAGTAGCTCACAAAGTGGAATTTTTGTTCACAAGACTCCACAGCTTAGAGCAAGCATTGCTTGGAGTATATGCACAACAATGAAAAGAACAGCAGCACCCATCTGAAATGTATAGTCTGGCACCAACTAAAAGCAGAGACTGATATTTTCATATGGCTACATAGGACTAAGGATGCCAGCCTCCAGGTGGTACCTGAGGATTCCCTGGAATTAGTGCTTATCTCAAGACTACAGAGATCAGTTCCCTTGGAGAAAATGGATGCTTTGGAGGCTGGACTCTATGGCATTGTACCCCACTGAGGTCTCCGTCCTCCCCAGGCTCCATCCCCAAATCTCCAGGAGTTTCTCAGCTTGGAACTGGCAACCCACCAGTGGTCGGGGAGGGGGGCTGGTAACCCTACATGGCACTCTGCGCTTACCTGAGCAAATGGTGTCACAATCAAGTCATCTCCATGTCTGAAAAGTAAAACAATAAAAACCTTTATTAGGCGTGATGGACGGCTTTTCCCACCACTGATGCAACAACAGCAACAGCAAATCCAAAAGCAAAAAATCTGTTCTCAAAGTTTAGCTCTCTAGATGATTTTCATTAACTGTGCCAATCAGTTTCTTTCTCACCCTGTATTCATTCCAAGTTGGCTAGATGAAGGCTAAGATATACAATAGCATTAGTCTAGTCACCTGTAGATGGGCAAAGATTCCGTGGCTTCACTCCACTTACTTAGAGAGGCACACAGATGTCCATAAGGCAAATGAGCAAAAGATTTAGTCCTTGGAGTCCTGCTTCCTCATCTTTTAAATTCAGGGGAATCTCATAGTCTTAGAATTAGTCAGGTATGCCCCAGAAGTAGGTAGCACCTACAATTACCTTTTTTTTAATTAGAGCAGCCAGCCCACTTAAATATTGCAAGTGATGTTCATTAAGCATTACTAACGGATAATCATTTGTAAGAATTGGACAAGCTAGTAACTGTAGATGAGAATGAAGTGTTTCAGAAGCTAATTAAAAAAAAACTTGGTAAAACTTTTCAACTGACTCAGATGTCCACAGTGTTACCAAGTGTGTGCTGTTGCTGGAGCGACCAAACCCACATTACCCTTTGACGTCGGAGTGAAGTCTCAGGGTGATGTGTCTTAATGACTGAGGGGAAAGAGCGACAAAATCACCATTACCACAAGGCAAAAACATAGTTGGCTGAGTCCGACGTATTTCTCACTCCCACAGAAATAAAATTTCAAAGTCATGCAAAAGTTGACACATGTAGACCTGGGTGATGTGTGATATTTTGCACAAAGTTACCAGGGACTACTGACTAATCCGAGGAAGGAAAGGACTGAGGAGATGATGTAACCCAGAAAGTCAGTCAAATTTAATTGAAGTTTTCACAAGGAGTGAAAGCAAACAGCCAGCGAAACCTTTCTAACACATTCTCACAAAATCTGTCCATTCTTAATTGAAAACAAAATATGCCCTGGGTGAACTCCAAGTCAAGATCAAGGTTGTGGTCCTATGCTAAGACGATCCCTTTAAATGCACTCAAGTGGTTGTAGAACTTCAGCCAGTATCTCCACCTTATTGAAAGGAAATCCTGATAGATAAACACAGTTTGAGTTACTGATTGTATTAATCTAGAATGAAAGGCATGATTCTGCGATAACTAACTTAGATAACTCTAAAGTTAACATGAGGTTTGTAACTATGGCAATTCCAAGGTAATGGGTTTCAAAATGAAATTTTAAAAGGAAGAACTGGGTGTCACCTACTGCCAAGGCTTGAAGGTGCCTTTCTGTTCACTTATTTGTGTTTCCTGCCTTTGCAGACACACACACCAAAAGATTCACAGTCATGGGAGTGGCTAAAGGCAAGAAGCGCTAGTTATATTACAAGAACAAGGCAGACATTTAGATAGCTTGTTCTCTTTTAATGAGTTCCTGCCCACTTTTGTTTTGTTCCTTCTCACAGCAAAGCAAGCCCATGAAATGTGTCAACTTTTTCTCCAGTTTGCAGACTGGGACCTGAGACTTACAGAATGGGTTTACAGTCAAGAAAACTCATATTGTGAACACATATTGTACAAATAAAACTCTCTTGTCCACAGTGGCTGTTTTCTGAGTAAGTGCTGAGGTAAGAAAGTGAGTTTCTCTCAACTAGGCAACAGTGTTTTGTCCAGCTCTTTTGTTTACATTTATCTTTGTGTCTGAGGTGCTCTGAAGAAGTGGCTTCCAAAGTGATTGGCCAGAATGAATAAGAAATGAATTATCACCAAACACTGGGTGGTGTTGGGTATGACAGGACTCTCCCACAGTCTTTCCCAAACTTTTTTGGGCCGCTGCCCCTTGGTTCAATCCCCAATGCCCCTCTCCTCCCCTCCCGTCTAAAAGGCATTATTCAAAACAACAGGTTTGTATGATCCATTAATGAAGATAATAACAATAACATTCAAAACAGTAACAATTGCACATTTATTCAAAATCCAATTAAAACTTTTTAGTTACATTTGCTCAACAAAATGTATTCAACAGAAACTCCAGTGCCGCCTCCTCCCACTACTCCCTTGCCTCTTACCACCCCCCCCCCAGGTAATCCCACTGTCCCCAGGGGACAATACCATCCACTTTGGGAAACAATGCTCTAACCTAAACAGACTAGGGTTGCCAACAGCCTGGAGAAAAACCTGTCCCTCTAAGGCTGCAGTTACACACACTAAATAATCCACTTTCAATGCACTTTCCAACTGGATTTTCCCTGACAGTAAAAATCCAGTTGGAAAGTGCACTGAAAGTAGATTATTTAGTGTGTGTGACCACAGCCTAATACCGGAAACAGACAGCACATTAATTTATCCAGGCAGCTGGCAACCCTAAAGCTACTACTGAGGAATCCGATGAAACAATAAGAAGGCAGTAATAGTAGGTGAAGTGGCCTGGATTAAAAAGCCCACACCCTTTTCCACTCAGACCCATCAAAACAAAATCAAAGCCTTTAAATCAAGAACAGAAATTGATTGGTAGACCCCCCCCCCTCCATGTGCATTAAGCAAATATACACATATTTACAACATTTGGCCTAACATTGTAAATCCACCACAAATCTTCCTGGAGGAAATCCAGCAACATTTTAAAATTGGTTACTAGGACCTGACAGATCAGAGTTTTTAGCACAGATTTTAATTGATTCTTGGGATTAAGAGCACCTCAGGAAAAGTTCAGGGCTACTGTAACACAGTGTGGGATCATCCCTAACAATGTAGGATTGACTTTAACTAATTGTTCAAAATGCTCTGGCGAGATCCTAATGGCAACCCATGGAAGGGAGATCCATCAGTGGCTATTAGCCACAAGGTATAGATAGGAACTCTCAGTCTGGGGCAAGTGATGCACTGTGTTCTTGGTGCCTGGGGGGGGGGGAACAGTGGGAGGGCTTCTAGTGTCCTGGCCCTACTGCTGGACCTCCTGACGGCACTTGGTATTTTTGGCCACTGTGTGAGAGAGTGTTGGACAAGATGGGCCATTGACCTGATCCAACATTGGCTTCTCTTATGTTCTTATGATCAAGTGAGATCTTCTGGCTGCCCATCGTTTTCAGGTGCATACTTCCTTAGGAGCAGGTGCTGGTGCTGATGTCTTCTGCCTTGGCCATCGCCTAGAGGCTTGGGGTGGCACTTAGATGCACATGTTTAAACAAGCTCTTGAGACAGAGATACTAGAGCAACATTGCCCCTTTGGGTTCTGGTTTGATCTGGGAAATCCACGTATCCCATTAGGTCTACTCCCAGGAACAAAAAACAAGTGGCACAACATGGAGGGTGATGCTGGCAAGGATTGGTGGTACACCCCTCGCCTCACTGAATCCTTGTTAACAGGAAAGCAAGTGAACCGGTGTTTCCCCACTCATGTGACTATGAATACCTTCCTTTCTAATAATTACAGACTTGGAAACAGACATATCAAATTATGTACCCTTTGATGCTAACGTTTAAAAAGGGCTAGGAAAGTTTTTTTGCTATCATTTAGTTGATTGATAGGCTTTTAAGCCTTGTTTTTACTGACTGTGAGTCTCCTGGAGTGTTACAAACACGGAAAACAGCTTAATACTACTATCTCTAATATCAATATATGTAAGAGAGCCAGTTTGGTGTAGTGGTTAAGTGTGTGGACTCTAATCTGGGAGAACCAGGTTTGATTCCCCACTCCTCCACCTGCACCTGATGATGTGACCTTGGGTCAGTCACAAGCTCTGGCACAGCTGTTCCTGAAAGAGCCGTTTGTGTCAGAGTTCTCTCAGCCCCACCCACCTCACAGGGTGTCTGTTGTGGGGAGGGGAAGGGAAAGGAGTTGTAAACCACTCTGAGACTCCAAGTGAAGGGCGGGGTATAAATCCAATCTCCTCTTCTTCTCCTCCTATATACTGTCAACTTGGTAGAATAAGGGCATTCCTATATTATGCCCAGGGGTCATTGCCTGCAGGAGCGCACAGGATCGGAGCTCCGGCAGTAAAGAGTCCAGGGGATGGGCACATGCAACAAGCCCCACCCCCTGCTCCCAGCAGCCCTCAGTCAGAACAAGAAGCAGCCAGGTAAGTTGCAGAGCCCCCCCCCCCGGCCCCCCGGTCCAAAACAGTCCAGTGACACCTTTAAGACCAAGTTTTATTCAGGTACAAGCTCTCCCTCCTCTGCGAGGACAGATCTGCACATCCCCCCCCCCAATAGCTAGCAATCCAAAACAGTCCAGTGGAGCCTGAGCGGTGGGTGTTACCTTCTGACACACTTCCGGTGATGTCAGGGTGTGTGGCATATGCAAATCAATTATGCTAATGAGTTATGCTAATGAGCTCCTGCACCTCTTTTTCTACGAAATGACCCCTGATTATGCCTATGCCTGCTACCTCACATACCTTTTTTCCTGTTCACAGCAAGAAAGTGTGCCTATGGAACAAAAACATACAAGGCTTGGCAGGGATTCCCACCCACCCCTGCCTTGAATTTAAGTCTCCTCTTATGTGAACAAACCTGGGGGGAAAGTGTCAAAGAGCTTTTTTCCTGTATGTTTTAATGAGATTGCTTATTGTTTTACTGGGGAAGTACTACCTATTTACAACCAGTAAGCATCCTACTTACTCCTTTTCTAAGCAGTCGTAGATAAAGCTTTCAGAATGCTGGACAATATAATATCACACATTTATAACCAGACAGCAGCAGGAACACATGTCAAATAGACATTTCTAACACAGAGAAGACCTTTAAAAGGCTGGGGCTGAACATCTCATTCTCCACCCCTCGCCTCACTGAATCCTTGTTAACAGGAAACCAAGTGAACCGGTGTTTTCCCACTCATGTAACTATGAATACCTTCCTTTCTAATAATTACAGACTTGGAAACAGACATATCAAATTATGTACCCTTTGATGCTAACGTTTAAAAAGGGCTAGGAAAGGTTTATTTGCTATCATTTAGTTGATTGATAGGCTTTTAAGCCTTGTTTTTACTGACTGTGAGTCTCCTAGAGTGTTGCAAACACGGAAAACAGCTTAATACTACTATCTCTAATATCAATATATGTCATTCTTAATATGGCCCCATCTATGGATACTTAAGTCCACTGACTGGGACCATTTAGAGAGAGGGGATGTTTTTCTGCAAACTTGGGGGACCTCCACCCAAGTTTACAGGGGAAAAGTAAAAGTTCAAAACTGAAGGAGGAGAAATTAAATCCCACACAAAACTGTGGGACACTGTCTTCAGTGGCACAGACAGTGCTCCTCCACTGGCCTGGCAGCATCCACCCTCCTCACCACATGTGGAAGGTTTTGGAGGAGGGGGAGCTACCCCTTGAGACAGGTAGGTGGAGATGGGTGCAGGCAAGCAGGGGAGGGGGAGGGCAGGAACCACCCGCTGCCATCGCCACTGTCCTCAGAGCAGCGGCGAGGAATACAGATGGAGGTCTGCTGAGTGGCAGGACAAAACTGAGACAGAAGCTCCACATTCACCTCCTACTGTTGCATCAGTCATTCTGGCAGAGGAAGCAGCACTACAGACAGGTGAGTAGCCAGCCAGCCAGTGAGCAGCTGAGCAAGGCTGTTGAGTGTCCTGGAAGTTGAGGCAGTCAACAGAGCCCAGGAAGAGGGAGGGGTGGGGAGAAGGGAAAGAAACAGAAATGGGGGAGGGGGGGAGTACAGTATCCAGCAATCAGGACAAGGGGGGAAAGGCAGGGTAGGGTAGTAAAAATGGATGGGATCCCCTCATGAGTCTTGTGAGTCCTCACTTGCCAATATAACTAATTCTCAACAAGGTAAAATCTGTGGATACTAAAATCTATGGACTGGAGCCATGAACAGACAAGCTAGATCTTTCAACAAATCTGAAAAGCACCAGATTTGCAGAAAAATCTGAAATCTAAACACACACATGTGCACGCACACACACACACACACACACACACTGGGGGGCTAAAACCTCCCATAATGATAGAAACAGTGCCTGTAGTTTTAAGAAATGAATGGCCTCCATGGGCATTGCTAGGGAACCACAATAGTACTGCCAGCCACCAAGCCTTGCGTTCTGCCAGCAAAAGGTAGAGGGGAGGGGGCACAGCCCTTTCCAGGGTGACGTCATCATGCTGGGCACGTTGGCGTAAATGTGGCACTTTGGGGGCGGGGTTTCCCCTGCCAGCCAGATCTGGTGGATCGGGGCCCTGAAAGCAGGCAAACCCCACCCCCAGCGGGGGAATGGCAAGCCTACCAGAAAGAAATAGCATGGGAATTGATATAGTATGGGAATTGATATAGGGGGAAATAAGGTGCTCCCCGCAATTTTTTGCAGGTTTCCCACCATACCACTGGGCCTGCCTCAGCCTGGCCTGCACCACATCACTTGGCCTAGCCCAGTGATTGGCATCATGCCAATGAGTCCAGCCTAATGACTCCCACCTTTCCACTGGGCCAGATTTTTCCCAGGGAGAAGCCGCCAGGAGTAGGGAAGGAGAGAAACATGAAGAAGAGACAGGAAAAGTTAGGTTGGCTGGTATGTGGGAAGGAAGCAGGAAAAAGGGAGTGTCTATGGAGCCTTTTGGGAAATGAAAAGAAGAAATAGTGGGGGAAGAGAAAATGAAATGCTCCCTGCAAGTCCTGCGGGCCCCCTGATTGAATACATATAAATATTTACTAACCTACCTCTTGATCACTGTTTTCACAACTCTCACCCCACAAAAGGAAAGCCTAAAAATTACTACAAAAGTTATAATGTAATTTAACAACAGCTGCCAGAAATTTCACCACACACATAGTGGTTTGTTTATCTTTATATCTGAGTGGCCAAGGTGATTTAGTTTCTGAAGAGATACAGCCCTGTTAACTAATGGAGACATCAAGTCATCTCTTTGATCTGGAAATTTGGGGCAGTCAAAAAGAATATGATTCACAGAACTGACTCTGTTGTTGCTGCAACTGTAGAGTCTATCTGAATATGGAGTTCCATTGAATCTTCCTAACATCACCGCTGAAGGCAGGGCATTCAGGTGCAAGCATGAATGCCCTTCTATACTTTGGAAAAGTTAGCTCAGATAGATAGTTTGGCATTCTTGTTGGAGGGAGAATGCCTACTGAGAAAGATGAACACACACTGCGAGCTCTAATCAATGTACTCTCATAATCAAAGTCCCTCAGATGCCTTCTAATGAGCTGGGTCTATTCTTGTCTATTCATGGTTTCTGTCACATGAATATATGAATATATGAAACCTCATTAACAGGGGTCATTTCGTAGAAAAAGAGCTAGGGGAACTCATTAGCATAACTCATTAGCATATGCCACACCCCCTGACATCAGGGGCCCGGCGGTGGACCTGCAAGGCCAGCGGGAGTGCGAGGAAGCCCCGCCAAGGCCCTCCCTGGCCCCAGGCAGGCAGGGGTGGGGAGAGGCGGGGAGGAAGCAACTTACCCTCCCTCTTCTCCTGCCTCCTCCTGGCTGAATGAGGGCTGGAAGCGGGGCGGCCGGAAGCAGGCGGCGGGGCTTCGTCATGTGCCCTGCCCCCCTGCACCTTACCCGGGGGAACTGCGTTCCCCTGCGTTCCCCCCCGAAATGACCTCTGCTCATTAAACTGAGACATCTAGCCCACTACTGTCTACGCTCTGACTGGCAGTGACTCTCCAAGGTCTCAGGCTTTTCCCAGCTCTCCTTTGCTTTTCCCAATCCAGAGATCCGTGACAAACATGCTATGATCATATAAAGCTGCCGTATACCAAATACAACTAGGTCAACTTTGTTAACTTTGACAGGGAGTGGTCTGAGAGGTTCTCAGGTAGATTTAAGTTCTCTCAACACCTGAAACCTAAGACCCATTGATCAGAGATGCCAGGGACTGAACCTAGGACTATGACATGGGAAATGTGTCATGCTCTCTTGAGCTACATCTCCTCCCACAAGGTTACATATAATGTCATTAGAAGGATGAAATTATTTATTAGTTCCTCTTCAGATCATTCATGCAGGAGAAGGCTTGTCTGTTGCAGTATGTTGTCTACAGAATGCCCCCAGTTCATCACTCAGTGCCAAATCTGAACTTTTCAGTGCAGGCCAAAGTTCATTTACCTAAAGCTCATTTGCTCAGATTTTTGTAAACGTCTAATTTGGGGGTTGGTCTTCCCATGCTGTTTTAAGATCACAGTTTTAGCCTTTTCAGCACTTCCCTTAATTGAACCTTCTGCTCCTGATTTTAATATAGGTTAACTTTTAATGCTGGTAGTGTATTTACTTTATATTTATTTCTTTATAGTCCACTTTTCTCTCCAATGGGGACCCAAAAGAGCTCAGAACATCACTTTCCCTCCTCCACTTTATCCCATGCCATGAGGTTAGGCTGAGTGTGTGTGACTGGCCCTAGATCACCTAACAAGCTTCTATGGTGCAGTCGGGATTTGAATCTGGTTCTCCCATAATCTAGTCCAGCACTTTAAGTATTATACCACACTGGCTCTCATATTATGCTACTTTTAAAAGGTTTACATAGTTTGTGGAATTACAGGAGCACGGGACCCCTCCTGACCTCCTCAGGAAGGCCATTCCACAAGTCACAATAACCTTGATCTGTTCAGAAATTTTGCCCATCACACTGTTGATTGACTGCAGACATGAGCCACTATACCTGTTTCAAAATTAATGGATTTACAGATTCAACAGTGAGAGCTGGATCCTCCTTCTTCCTTCTGCTATCTTCTTTCCTGCACTGGGGGTAATCTTTCACCCGAGCAAGTATCCTTTTTATAGGAGGAAAGAGACTCACTCAGTAGAAAGGAGTTACTCGATCTAACCCTCAGGCTCCATTGTGTCAGGGTTTTTGCCATGGAGGGATCACCTAGAAGACTGAGTCACCCCACATTACACTCCCCTCAACCTTTTGTAACTTGTAACAGATTGCTAGCACAGAAGTTGCTGTTGACTATCTTGGAACTGCTAAGCTTCCTTTAATTTGTTGGAAGTCTCATATGGAAATACAGGGCCCGCCTCTAGCGATGAAGACTGGCTCCAGCCCTCCATCTTTCATAGTTGTATTACAATCATGGCCTTTTGTTATCAAAGGACACAAGTCTGGATACTGAATCAGATACTCACATATCACTGGCAATGGAGGAGTTCCTGGACATGGACTTTGGAGAGAGGTCATAATCGCTGTCTGACCGGTAGAGAAAGGATTCTCTACGTTGACTGTGAACAAAGTTAGCCTGGAGAATCAGCCCTGAGCCTGGGCTCGTCATGGGATCCAAGGGACTCCGTCCCGATGAGGTGCCATTGTCGACGTCAAAACTGTAAGAAAGAAGACAAGTTTAATGCTTCACGTCCAACAGATTTTGGGGATGCAAATGGAGGTATTATCAAACTAATCTTTTACCAATTAAGATATGTTTTTGCTGGGGAAATCTACAGGTGGAAGTCATTTTAATGGTGGGTGCTATTTAATATATATGAGAAAACCTGGCATCAATTCGAGAGCAAGACACAAGGAGGAGCTGGCGGAAGGTGCACTATGAGAACCATTTCCTTCTATTCCATTCTTAAGTGGAAAAGATAATTTATCTAACAATCACACTTCCTATAGACAATTATTCTCACAACAGCCTCTGGAAACTAAAGGCCTATTTCTCACTATCCATCGGTGATGGGATAAACCAATGTTTGGATTACAATTCTTTAGGCCTCTGAATATTTCTACATTCAGAAAATCGGGACATCAGGAAGAGAGCTAGGCTGAATCCTTCTGTTTTCCCTGTGCACAGAATTATTTTATAAGAACCCCATCTCAGCAATCTGAAGTAATACAGTTCAGATACAGGGTTACAATGCCCTCTGCTGTTTGTGAGAACTAGAGCTAAACTAGATAAGGTACTGGAGATCTGTAATGAGATCACCCATCTACTCAGGCTTAGAGGAATCGAGACTGTGGTGCTGGATGAAGGTAAATCAACCCTTTTCTTTGTGCCCTTTCCCTGATTTAAATCATGCATGCACAAACAGTGAGAAATGTTACTTGACTTCATAAAGCAATAATACCTTCCTTGCATATTGTCTAGTTTGACCTGAAGAATTAGTAGTACAGATACAGAATCTTGTGTCTTTTAATAAATGCATGGAGCTCCTGTATATATAGGTTTTTCCAGTAAATATATGCATTTGTTAATTCACTGGTAAACATAATTTAAAAAACACTCTATTCATTGTCATCATTATCATAACAAAAACAAATAAGGACATTTTAATTATATGATGTTATTAACATTTGTTATTTTGGTGCCCGGCTGTCTGGTTTAGAAAGTTCAAGCTACTGATTGCTGTCTTAGCAGGGCTTTCTTGATCCTTTATAAACAGCATCTCACCCAACCCCAACCCCTGAAAGTATCTCTTTGCCTACACTATTTCCATTATCTTTGATACTGAGTATATTCTTTCTGGTGCTACACAAAATTTCATAGTTACAACATGGTTCAAGAACGTGTGATTACTACTTTTCCAAGTGTGAGTGTGTTGCTATTTAGCAGTTGTGAGGTTTTTCCCCCTTCCCATTAGTGCTAATTTAGGCTGATAGTTCTGTATTCTCCCTAGAAGCATATTAATATCAATACCTTGAATGCTGCTGTGATGACTTACAATGGACATAACACTCAATTCTTGCATGCTGTTTGTAATGAAAGAACCCATGTCAATAACTAGTGTAACTCAGTCACTGCAATGCACACATGTAAAGTGATTTCCACTACTATTGTTACAATGTCTGTTTTCCACCAAGAACTCACACTAACTGGGTTCAATCCAGGCTAAATTTTCCATCAGTAGAATGGAAATTTTCTCCTCCCACTCCCAATGTAACCTACTGATCTCAATGAAATGCTGCTCATGGGGGATAGGGAAGCCTGAAGAATGACATGAAAGGAGTCTGTGGCAGGAAGGAGGAACTGGAAGAAACTGTGAATTTAGTCTGGATCTAACCCGCTGTCTATACAATGAAAGCCTTCATGCCTATTCTACTATGATGCCCATCTTGGGGTGCAGAATACCCCTGTTACCCAGTAATCCCACCTGTTTCCATGGTTGCCAAATTCAACCTTTTGATCCTTCTGTGCCCCTGCCCTCTTTTTGTAGAAAAAGCCCAGCAGGAACTCATTAGCATAACAGGCCATACCCAACAGCAGGAACTCATTAGCATATTAGGCCACACCCCTGACAGCACAGCTCATTCTCATATTAGGCCACACCCCATGTCATCCAGCCACACCCACCTATTGCTTCTTATTCTCTTTACCTTGTTTGTTGTCAAAACCCAGGGCTTTTTGCATGTTAGGCCACACACCCCTAATTGTAGCCAATACTAATGAGTTTCTGCCGTTGAGTGTGGCCTATTATGCTAATGAGTTCCTGCTGGGTGTGGCCAACTTGGGAGCCAGCCGGAACTCCATTCCTGTGCGTTCCTGCCCCAAAATAGCCCTGCTTCTGTGTAACTTGGCCTGTCTCCTAGTAATGTCTTCTGCCTGCTCTGAAAGTGCAAATCTTAATGACCTGTAAACCGGCTCTAATCCCAGGCTAGCCTCATCTTGTCAGATCTCAGAAGCTAAGCAGGGTTGGCCCTGGCTAGTATTTGGATGGGAGACCAACAAGGAATACCAGGGTTGTGACGTGGAGGCAGGCAATGGCAAACCACCTCTGAACGTCTCTTGTCTTGAAAACCCCACAAAGTCACCATAAGTCAGCTGTGACTTGATGGCCCTTTCCACTACCCCCAAAACTGACCGGGGCACTTTCTTCTATCGGAGTGAAATTTGGCAGGATTCCTTGAGTGAAGGCACCAGTGCTGCCTCTAAGCTGAGTTAGTGTGAGCTAGCTCACAGTTTTTTAGCCTCTGTCTCACACATCTTAGCTCAGGAAGGAGGGCTCCAGAGCAAATTAATTTATGCAGTAGCCAAGTTGCTCGTTCACAGCTTTAATGTCAGTAGCCAACAAAGTAGAATTTTTGCTCACAAGACTCCACAACTTAGAGGGAGCACTGGAAGGCACAGTCTTTGAAAATCTCAGCCATACTGGGTAAGTTAGAGCCCATTGAAAGGAATAAGAAACAAAAAAAAGAACAATGTGATAACCAACTGAAAAGAGAAGGGATAAAAACATAAGTGAAATGGATATCAGGGGTTAAACTGTAATATAGATAGAGCCACAGAAATGGCAAAGAGCTCTAACTGCTTTGATCTTTTTGTGTCTACCTTCCCTACAACTGCTAAACAGCTGACATAGAATGAAAAAAATGACAATTAAAAGACACAGATAACTTTAAAAATCAATAGACTGGATTCCAAAGAAGTTCGAATGAAATTCTATTTGTGAAATAGATCTTTCTTTTCTCCCTCTGTTTTCTGAAGCCCCTCATGCCATTTAAGAAGATCCTCCTGAGAGTCAGGAGACACTCAGAAACAGTGTGGGATACAGTTGTGGGGCTGTACCCGACATTGTGTCAGACTCCTGGTCAAGAGACTCCTAATAACACTCTCTTTGGCAGTGATTTGTTTATTGAGATATCAGTATGATCCAGATTAGAGCAGTACCGTGTCAGAACTGAGTTTTTTGGTGGTAATCTCTATGGATACAGACAATTCGAATATAGGTTCCCCCCCCCTTGGGTTCATCCAATCATTTCACACAGCCTTCCCACCTAAGCCGTTAGCTTCTATGCCCACCCATAAGTTCCCAGTCATGTTATCTAAGACAGCGAGGCTAGCACAGCATTTGCTTCAAGGTCGTCTCCCTGGAGAGGCATGTCTTGGGCAAAGTTACAATAGCTGCTACAAAGGAGCCACTCTCATACACACACACACAACCCCTCAGGAATTCCCCCTTCCCCCATAGCTATGGCAAGCGATGCTGAGTTTGGCACACTGATGGAAATCACAGATCCCTCTCTTTGCATGAGTGAAAGTGTCTTCTGGCCACACAAGAACACTTTTAGATTCCTGCCAATCAATATAAAATACAACTAATAAAACATTAATATTGTTAAAAATGCCTTTACTGTTTATATCTTGCTATTCTCCCCAACAGAGATCCAGAGAGACTTACAACATCATTCTCTTCGCCTCCATTTTATCCCCACAACAACCCTATGGGGTAGGTTAGACTGGAAGAGTGTAACTGGCCAAGGTCACCCAGCAAGGTTCCATGGCAAAAGGCAGACATGGGCCTGGGTCTCCGAGATCCTAGTCTGGCATGCTTACCACTACACCATGTTGGCTCTTAGAGCCAGAGCAGATTAAAAGACACAAATAAAAACAAAACTTGAAATGGCCGGGGAAAGCTGCACATCATAATTTCATCATATGGCAGCCACAGGTACAGGTTTTCCTATGCTGACTCCTGACTGCTTCAGCTTATGGTTCATCCACCACTACAAGCCAGATTTGAACAAGATCTGGCTTTTGCCATGGCAGCATAAAGGCTCACACAGCTACATTTATACACTGTACAAAATGCCAAATCCAAAATGTGGTGGTTACATGGGCAATGCAGGCTTTCTACAGTATTGATGCAACTGGGAACATAAAGGGACTTGAAATAAGTAAGAAAATGTTTAATTAGAATCAGGGCTTTTTTTGTAGAAAAAGCCCAGCAGGAACTCATTAGCATAATAGGCCACACCCAGCAGCAGAAACTGATTAGCATATTAGGCCACACACCCTGACAACACAGCTCATTCGCATATTAGGCCACACCCCCATGCCCTCCCTTGGCTTGCCTGGGTGCCCTGTGGCTGCAGGGAGCCCGGGCAAGCCAGCCTTTGGAGGGAAGGGAAGGTGCAAGTGGACAGGTCCAATCCTTCCAGGGCACCCCCAGGCCTGCCCGCCTCGGAGTCGCTGGGGGTGTGTGTGTCACTGTCCAGGCCTTTCCTCTGTAGCCACACACACGCAGAGGTTTTGGCTGTAGTGGGCGTGGCCAACTCTGAAGCCAGCCGGAACTCCGTTCCTGTGCGTTCCTGCCCAAAAATAGCCCTGATTAGAATCTTCCATTAAAAAGTGCTTTTAAAGTATATTGCAGTGTACAGTTATTCAGTATACCAATATAATGACAAATGTGTGGTGTTTTTAAACTGTTTCATTTCTATCTGATAGCTTCATTGCATTATAATTGTTAATGATACTGGGTTTGTACTATGGATGTGTGACATATTTTGGCTTGTTTGTGTTAAAAATACTGTCTCTCCACCAGGTGGATGATGAATATGGACAATGCAGAAGTCTATAGTTACTCACTCAGGGGTCCCAAGGTACAAA